TGTCTATGTATTTACCATCGTGATATTTTGTTCCGTAAAGGTGGTGAAGGTTTTGCCCTGCGATGACTTTGCTCATGCGTCTGCTGCAGAAAAGGGGCGCTATTCGCGGGAGCTCTAGAGGGCCTATCGAAGTTTATTTGGCCGATTCTTCCACCCTGACCAGAGAGCACCCACACTTTACCCCACCGCACACGACTCACCGATGGACCAACTGCAGTTGCACCCATTGATACAGCTGGCTGGACAAAGGCAGCGGGGGGGGGGGGGGTAAGACAGTTTAATACGTAAGTAGGCTTTCACGAGCAATATCATCCATAAGAGGTTTTTTTGGGTTAGATCGCGTAAATATATTAATTTGTCATTAAAATAAATCGTTTCAACTGCTGTGCTGGGCGGCCCTCATCATTGCAAGTCCAACATCCACACAGCAAGTAGCAAAGTTATTTTGACACCAATGCCAGTGTAATTAAATGCTGCTGCTGCTGCAATTGACCACAATCTCTGAAGAATTTGACTACTTGACAATGCGTCGGTCTTTTTTCTATCTCTTTCTGCTGCATAATCTGAAATAACAATATTTATATGAAACTCTCACCCCCCGGGCATTCGCCAGATGCCAATGGGTGGATTTGTACCGGCAATATTCCAGTGGGTTACGTGGCATTCTGTCCCGCATCCTCCCCGTCGGTCACACCCTGCTGGGTTGCACTAATGCACAAGGTTATTTTTATGTCTGAAGGGCGTTACCCGTTATCGGCCGAGGGCAGCTGTTTTCGTGGGTGACAGGGCAAACAGAGCAGCAGTCGTGAACCATTGCTGCTGGGGCCGGCTCACTCAACTGCAAATGGAGCCAGAGTTGCCCTGTGAATTTCATGCCATTTCACAGAGGGCGGGAAATTTGCAAATCTAAAATTATCCGTTCGATTCCATTTGCGTGGAGGAAACCAAGTAGAGGAGATGACGGAGACAACAACCATTTAAGGATGCAACGCGAGACGACAGGCCATCATGTCCCCATAGGGCATCATTCGGAGAGCTATCAACACTCCACTCTTTGTGGAGTCGAGTTTATCGTTTGGTGCAAAATAAATCATTCTCTTCGATGGCCCTGGCTGCCATCTTGCGCTCTAATATAAGCACAGTATTGCTTTTTCAGTCGCGTGGAACTGTAGACCAACTGCCCTGGAAAGGGACTCTCTCGAATTGTCATGAGTGGAGGCACTTACATCAGCAGTGGTTATGAGTTAGCAATTCCAGGGTCTCACATTTAAATTTTCACTTGACTGTAACGGAGTAGAACTTGTCACGTGTAGGTTATTTGGACTTACAACGAATCTGCTGCGTCATTAAAACACGCTTTGGAGACATTATACCGTGTTTGTAAGATCACTCTTTTGGGAAGACAGAGGAAGGTTTCCTAAAATAGGATAGTCGAGTCACTGGTGACGTCACCGTGGGTCTCGCCTGCACACTGAGTCACTGGTGACGTCACGTGGGCCTCGCCTGCACACTGGGTCACTGGTGACGTCACGTGGGTCTCACCTGCACACTGCGTCACTGGTGACGTCACGAGGGTCTCACCTGCACACTGGGTCACTGGTGACGTCACGAGGGTCTCACCTGCACACTGAGTGACTGGTGACGTCACGTGGGTCTCACCTGCACACTCAGTCACTGGTGACGTCACGTGGGTCTCACCTGCACACTGGGTCACTGGTGACGTCACGAGGGTCTCACCTGCACACTGGGTCACTGGTGACGTCACTAGGGTCTCACCTGCACACTGAGTGACTGGTGACGTTACGTGGGTCTCGCCTGCACACTGAGTCACTGGTGACGTCACGAGGGTCTCACCTGCACACTGGGTCACTGGTGACGTCACGTGGGTCTCGCCTGCACACTGGGTCACTGGTGACGTCACGAGGGTCTCACCTGCACACTGGGTCACTGGTGACGTCACGTGGGTCTCGCCTGCACACTGAGTCACTGGTGACGTCACGAGGGTCTCGCCTGCACACTGAGTCACTGGTGACGTCACGAGGGTCTCGCCTGCACACTGAGTGACTGGTGACGTCACGTGGGTCTCACCTGCACACTGAGTCACTGGTGACGTCACGAGGGTCTCACCTGCACACTGAGTGACTGGTGACGTCACGTGGGTCTCACCTGCACACTGGGTCACTGGTGACGTCACGAGGGTCTCACCTGCACACTGGGTCACTGGTGACGTCACGTGGGTCTCGCCTGCACACTGAGTCACTGGTGACGTCACGAGGGTCTCACCTGCACACTGAGTCACTGGTGACGTCACGAGGGTCTCACCTGCACACTGGGTCACTGGTGACGTCACGAGGGTCTCGCCTGCACACTGGGTCACTGGTGACGTCACGAGGGTCTCGCCTGCACACTGGGTCACTGGTGACGTCACGAGGGTCTCACCTGCACACTCAGTCACTGGTGACGTCACGTGGGTCTCACCTGCACACTGGGTCACTGGTGACGTCACGAGGATCTCGCCTGCACACTGGGTCACTGGTGACGTCACGAGGGTCTCGCCTGCACACTGGGTCACTGGTGACGTCACGAGGGTGTCACCTGCACACTGCAGATGATATCAGGCAGCCCCTTCATGGCAGGCCGCTTGTGAAACACGCTGTGTAGAAATTCGAGATGTTTGTTTGATCTTTAGTGCCTCCGATTAGCGCGGTTGGCTACATGCTGTGCGAAAGAAGTTCATCGTACGTACATACGTAGCAATAGATTGTTCTGCAAACGCAGTGTTTGTGTCTATGATTAAAGAGGGAATATGACGATACGTTTTTTGTGATTACGAAGGAAATAAATTGCGCGAGGGCGATGGAAACGTGACATACGGATCCCGCTATCGGCACCACGATGCATGGCGCTGCTCTGCACGGTGGCGATGGTCAATTCGCTTCTCAACTGGGCTTGTAGATTAAGCCTCGCCATGGCCTTCAACCAACTTTTGTTTTCATATTTTGCCACTTTTTTTTCTTTCTCTGTACAAAATAGTTGCGCATTCAGGTCACATGTAGTGTTGTTCGTATTCTGCAAACACGATTGTGCGTCCCGTGTTACCTCGATGGCATAACCCATTTCAACACCGTAGTGTGGGTAAAATTGTAATTTAAACAGTTTGGAATAAAAAAAAAATTGCCCACTTAATTGTAAAAAATATATATATACGTTGCAATTGTCTTCTAATAGTACATCAATCCTCTTCAGTTTCACGAGCAATGTCAAAGAGATTGGGGTTCTGTGGTGACCTTCAGGATCGTCTGAACCTTCCATATCCTGTTATATATATCAGGATGACAACGCTTGTGTTGCGATCAAAACGTCATGGGTTTTTTATTTTTATTTTCTATCTACAGGACTTGACCGAAAGAACCAAAGAATATGAATTCCTGCAGTCACGAAAGTTTTAAGTCAAAAGTAATTATAAGAATGGTTTTTCCCCTTTTCTGGCAACAAATCTGAAACCTTTTGTTGCCAGAAAAAAGGAGAAAAAACTATTCTTATATTTTGGTACTGCCAAAGGAGGTCTCATAATGATGATCAAAAGTAATTACTTATTTACCCAGAAAACTGTTTCAGGAGGGTCCAGTATGGAGTTTTTTTTTCTTCAGATGTTTTCAGACCATTCTTTAGTGTCATACAGTTGTCTATTTTTTCATTGATCATTGATTTCATGATTGTGGCATGGGTGTGTGTGTAGTGTACCAATTCAGAGACACTAGTAAGAGGCATTATCCCTCTTGCTTTTGATGGCTCTCACAGCCATATTGCATAACTCCATACCGGGTAGGGACAGCCAACATGCTTCCAGACCCACAGCTTGAATACGCGAAGACCACGACGACAACAGCAGCACGACAAGTCCCTCTCCCGACGGCAGCAGCCCCGACTGTGAGTCGGAGCTCGCCTTTTATCCTCCGCAGCGCTGGCCAGGCTCCGCCCTCGGCCACGCCCCCTTCTGGATCCCCCAGAAGGCTCCGCGCTTGGCCCACAGGTCCAACTGGCAGAGCGGGCCGCTACCCCTAATTCCATTGTCTACTAATCTCCCAGCGCCACGTGCTACAATGACTCATTCAACGTCACGACATGTGCATCCTTTGTGTACTGACAATTGACTAATGGACAAACTGCCATCCTATGTTCCTTGGCATTGCAGCCGTGAAGAACCATTCACTGTGTGAAGTGGAGAGTCGTAGTTTGGTGGTTCGGGTGCGTCATCCCCAAATCCCACCATCCAAGTTTGATTCTCAGCCAGGACTACTATCTGAACCGGTACTGGACCCTTCACGAGGTTAATTTAACCTTACATGAGTGCCTGGCGTGGTGTGTAAACATCAGTGCCAGGGAGACAAAGATGGCCAGCTGTGCTGTTTGCCACACCTCTGACTCGTGCGCCATGCTGGCCTTCATAGCACTTGCCCCAAGACTCTGTTGTAGGATACACGGGTGTTCTTTGTATGTGTTCATTCTGCCGTTTGGATGCAGATAAACTGACTAATGGTGAAAAACTGGCATCCTATAGTTATCTGGACTGAGGGTGTTTATTGTTTTAATCTCCGAGGAATGAGACAAATGTGTAATTATCGTTATGATTATCGTTAATGTGCAGAGGGACTGTCTGATGCATGAGCCGTAATCTGGCCCATAGATGTGTTTTCTCCTTGTCCACAGGGATCATGCAGTGGCAACGCATGCTGGGAAAAAAAAAACTTGACATGAAAACTAAAACATCTCAGTGGTTATAGTCTGCCAAAATATAAATAACTTACAAAATATACAAAAATTTATAATAACAACAAACATCTCACGAAATACGTCACCACAGTAAGTTCTATCTTCTTGATATACAACTTGTATCTGGTACATTTAGAATATTTTCCACAAATAAATGGTTCCTTGGGTGAGTATCTTGTAACACATGCTGTGTAATGTTTGAAAAAAAAATGCAACCTCACAACATGCCATGTACAATAATAATTTATTAATATAGACATTTTTCTATAATCAGGCAAAAGATGTATAGTCATGCAACATCTGTATGCAAGAGCAGAAAATATATTTCCTTTATTAGAGCGATAAGGTACGGCTTAAAGACCCATCCTTTTAAAATATATAATATCCTCTTGACCATTTATACTATCTTAGTCAATATAAAATTGTTCGAATAGAAGACAAAAAAAAGTTTCACTTAAAACAAAAGACAGCTTTTTTGTATGGAAATCTACTTAAGTATGCGGTACAAATGTAAGTGTCAGGCGTCCACACTCTTAATGTGTGCATTGATATCTGTTACGTGATGCTCTTGCACACGCGACACTTTGTAATCGTGATCCGGCACGAATTTAAATGTAAGTGATATTGAACGTTTCGCGGAACATATTGTACACTTATACACAATTGTAACACGCACTCATCATGGGAGAGAGAGAAAGTTAAAATACTCTTTGGGCACACAAACTCCTGCTTGGTGTAACGCACTACGCAGAGAGTTTTCATACGAACATTATACTAATCAATGTTGAACAATGTGTATACATTTCAAACCAACGTGGCATATTCCCAGGATCAGACCATACATACTGAATCAAGATGCTCATTTTGCCCGCGAAAACCTGCCAATTGGCACAAACTTGATTAGAAGATTCAATTGCTTCGCTTAACGTTTTTTTTATATCTTTGTGTAGAAAAACACGTTAGGCATTTCCCAATTATCCTATTATAAATCCAATATTAAATGTTCCTACGTGGAGAATGTTTTATTTATTCATTGTTACATACGAAATTGTGTGCACAAAAAAAGGAAAAATATTTGATAAACAACACATGTTGTTATTTATATTTGTTATAGCTTTTCATACTATCAACACTTCTCCTTCAAAACAACCATGACACAAAGCTGGGAGAGCAACACGTGTTTTACAAAATTATAATCTGATACAAAATAAACTACATTAAGATTACATTCAAGCCGGCACATACTCTGTACAATGTAATAAGTAAAACAAAACAAAAACTGAATTTAAATGCTTCAAAGAGCAAGACGAGCGGCTTCCTACGATCAAGTTACTGATAAGTTTAAATGCAAATCCAATCAGAAGTGAATCTAAGGCTGCGAGTCTTGTTTAAACACCCTACCCTTCCTATTTTCAAACGATTAATCTTTGATTTCGCATATATTTAACAAAAAAACACTTTCTAAGGATAGGATCCTTTTGGGTCTAATGCTTGACAATTGCGTCGAGTCTGTTAATCTTCTGCGCTGTACTCTTTTCAGCCTACGGTAATGGAAGTACAACCCCTGACATCTCAACAGTACGCGATAACAAACGCTCAGTCTTATTTGCTGAGACTTACTCAATTCAAGCTTTCAACATTTTCTTACATGGCAATGCCGGTCTGATACACAATAGGAGCCCATTACATTCCCCGTGTCAAAATTCGCCCGCGTCAATCCTGTAATTCCGTTGCTTCGAAATGGCCCATGTGAATAATGTGGGGGTGTGTGTGAGCGCGTACCTGGTGCTGTGTGTACACATCAGCACTGGGGAGACAAAGGTGGTCGGGCATGGCGTTGTCTACCCGCCCCCATTGTGTGCCATTCCAGCCTTCATAGGTGCTCGCTCATAGCACTTGTCCCCAACAGTCTGTTAAGAGCTATGCGGGATGATCTTTGCCCTTTTTGTCGTGCTAAGAGTCCGATTAATGCAGTTATATTGTGTTCTATGATCATTGAGTCGAGCTGTGTCTAGCTGAATGTAAGCAGAGCTGGCAATTGTTGTTAGTATCAGCTATCGTACACTACTGCTTGCATCACGTTGTGGTGTTTGTTTTTACTTGCATTAGATATGAGAAGGGAGGCCATGGAACGATCCTCTCAACGGTACACTTCCACAAGCTTCGTATTTAAAGTAGTAAAACCTGCAGCACCATCAGAACCTTTTACAACTTTGCGCTAATTTCTCTGTCAATCGTAAATATCTGGGGATAGCCACTGCATGGGGTTTTTGTTATATATCATCAAGGCTCATCGCAGACCACATTCAGCCAGTGATGATGCCATGCGCAGCCAGAGGGGACGCGTCTCTCTTTTTATCCCACATCTGTTTGAAGTGAGTGATTCTGCCCAACAATTTTTTGGCTCAAGCGAACATCTGGGACAGTAAAGAGCCGGTGGAGTGACCGTTTATCACTTCCTTTTGAAGAATGAATCCGTTTTATGAGCAGAGAGGTTCCTGTTGTAAACACCAGGGAGGGAATGTCTATTCGCCCCCCCCCCTCCCTCTCTCAAATGTTTTCCCTCTAAGGAACCAAGACTTGGGCATATCAATTCCACTCATCGATATTTGTGACCCGTACTTTTTTGCTGTTATAATTGTTCACCAAATATTTGTCATCGGTGGAACGAATATGCAAGAGAACCAACGTTTGTTATTTGTTGACACTAGACTTTGCTCACAGAACCTACCCAGTTTATACATGTACAGCCCAGGCCTATTATGTTAACAGTCTGACAAAAAATGTAACAGTTACACACTCAATACTTGGCCAGTTGTGCTACTTTAAAAAAACATTATTTTGGCAAGCTAATTATGAATGCTGGGTAGACAAACTAAGAGTTGGACAAACATAGCAACGGACATGGCATGGTGTGATGGTTACAGTACAATGATGGAAACCAATGAAAGTAGTAACACTAGCACCATTGACATTGACACGTGGCTAAAGAGCTTGTATTTATTATTCTTAGTTGATTATCACTTCTTACTTTTTCGTTTTTTGCATTATTATCGTTACATCAGTCTTAGTGACACCGTAGTCTCATGGACATATTATATTTATATAGTTTAAAACGGCATTCCTTTTTACCAATATTAGAATGCGGATCGCCAGTCAAAAAGCAGTTGTGAATAGATCAGTCACCAACCCTTCGGGTGAACTGCAGTGAATGGCACTCTTCTATTTGTTGCGCCGCAAAGCTGCCAATGCGCCGTGAGACGAGACACGCGCAGCATCTGGCGTCTACTGCCCCCAAAAGAGCCGAGGCACGAGGAACAGAGCCACACGTGCAACCAGAGAAGACAATTTACCGAGCTTAAAGAGGGGGGTGGAGGTGGAGGGGGGCACAAAACTAAACTGTGAAAGGAAAGCGCCGAACAGCCAATTTCCTTCCAGCCCCCCGGCTGACGCCGCTTTGCCCTCGACCGTCTCGACTGCTCGCGTTCGGCAAGGTGGCACGTTGACACTCGCGCGCACACTCCTCCAGCGACGCGAGTGGGGGGGGGGGGGTTCCGACGTCAATCCGTCGACGGCGATCGCGGCGTTCCTCCAGCTCGGCACCCGGGCGGTACAACGGTGGGAAGAGAGGCGGCCCAGCGGAGGCGTTGGCTGCCCGCCCTTTTACCACCAGACGCCGGGGATGGGCACCCCGCACTCGTACCAGGCTACGTAGTAATTGCCGCTGCCCCCGTGCTGGTAAACGCCGCCGCCGATCGAGCCAAAGTTCAGCGGTTCCTGACGGTACCGCCGGTAGAAACCTGTGGTGAGCGCAGAGAGCAGCGCGGATATCAGATGTGGCGCCGTGCATATGGGTGTGTACGTGTGTTGAACTTCTTTCGCGCCGTACGTAGCCAACCGCGCTAATCGGAGGTGCGGGGAAGGACAACAAACGAAACACAAAAAGCTGTTTTAAAGAAATTCTTTTCAATCTAGATTTTTAAATGCACCGTTCCAGTGGCTTTCTAATTTTGGAAGAACGTTCCAGACGGCCACAAAAGCGCATCTGAACGCGCCCAGTGCAGTAACCGTCTTTGTTCGATGACTCGCTAAAAGCTGCTGCGAGGATGACCAGAGTTCACGTGATAGTTTATGCTCCTGGCTAAGGGGTCAGGGGTCAGAGCACTTAAGTCTGCCATGCACCGCATTCACAAACAACAGAGGTCACGTGAGATAGTGCAGCACCAGATGCCATTTGAAGGGATTTCAGAAGTAGTTCTGTAATATGTCATTCTGTGGGACAGATGATGCACTCTTCGCTGCAAGAGTTCTGAATGGACACTTAGGACCCAATTCATGTAACGTTTGTTCTGACACTTTTGTAAAATTTCCGGTATTAGCCAGCCAATTTTGCAGAAGCGATTCTACCCACTGTGGGCCATTCCAAAATCTTAGCATGGATCGTGGTGGAATGGGTGAATGTTTTGTATGGAATCGGCAAAAATGAGGAATGGGACCGTTTTTCTGTTTATCCATCGTTCTGCAATAATATAGTTGTGGGATTAAGCCGAAAATAGCTGCAGCCATTAGTCTCCTAGTATGAGACTGGCGGTGTGATTGAAATAGACTCGGAGGAAAAAAAACTATTTATCCGATGAACAAACCCTGCGCTTATTTAATATGTTGTCGCGTGTAACCGTCGAGGGAATTTTTCTGGTTAGATTTTTTTCGTGCGGAAAAATATGTTTAAATGTCTATTGGGCAGCATGTGTCTCTGATGTGTGCCATAAACCTGTGGTGGAAAATTCCTTGTTCACATAGCAGGGACATCCTGTACATCGGACAACCACTGCTTCACTTCAAAGCTTAGACAAATTAAATGTACATCTCTTCGTAAAAAAAAATCACTTAAGTGCAACCAGAAAACACGTCTTAAGGAACATGTCCTTTTTATAACATTTAGCCCAGAGATATGTGAGAAGAGTGTTTAATACATTGTGTAAGTGAATTTTCTGATTTGATTTCAGACAAAAATCACGTATTACATATGAACAAATATTATATTTGTAGCCCTTGTGATTCCACTGCTGGATGAAGGGTCCCCCAGACTCTCAGCCGTCAGGGGTTGTCTGACCCTACTTCACCACGTCGGGAGCGAGGGGACCCAGGCCCCGTTCGGATATTCACTCCACCACTGACGTTAGCCGTCGCCTGAAATTAAACCCGGGGTCGCCAGGTTCACAACAGAGTGCACTGACAATTGTGACCACTCTCCACCCCAATCATTGTGTATATATAGTCGGAGCCAGATGTCAGCACACCCCTTCGAGAGCAAGGCCAACAGTGCTCATATCTCCCGTATACTCGTGTCACAACTTGCCCTTTGCCTTCACCCCACCAGTATAATGTAAGCCTGTGCTGCTTATACGAGTACTGTGCTTATAGAAGGCGTTCTCAAATCTAGATTCAAATTGTGTGTGTGTGTGCGCGCGTTTATATAGCGGTAGTGTAGCGGTCAGTGCGCCACGCTATTAACCTGGCGACCCGAGTTCGATTCCCGCTCACGTGCCAACACCGGTGACGATTATCTGAACCCCCTAGGTCGACTCAGCCTTAAGCGAGTACCTGGTGCGGTGTGTAAACATCGCCACTGGGGAGACAAAGGCGGCCGGGCGTGGTGCTGGCCACCCACCCCCTCGTGCGGCGTGTCGACCTTTAAAGGTGCTCACTGACAGCACTTTCCCCAACAGTCTGCTTAGCCTATACGGGAGGAATCTTTGTCTTTGTTATGTAGTATGCTATTAATATGCAGAATGCGTCTCTGTTCATAGCCAGTGGTTCTTCACATCCCCTGCTCCTCCACCTGCCCAGAGTCAAGGGGGGGGGGGGCGTGGTTTAAGTGCACCGGTCATGGCGGAGCGGTTGACCATACTTCACCACTTTGGTCAGTGTGGGTTGGTGAAGGGAACATGATCCATCTCGTCTCAAGTCTCACTGAGTGCCTGACTGGTAATGGTTGCCCTCATCCAATATGGCTACTCAGGACTTCAACGCATTTCACGGATCGACGATGGTGGTGATAATGGTGGAGACGAACAAATGCATTGATCTCTGTGTGGCAAGACCTTGTGTGATGGGCAGTTGGTTTTCATCCAGCCGAGGTCCTGTCCGCCCATCCAGGAATGAATCGACAAACTCGCAGTGGTCTTCCGCGTGTCCATATCCATCACCGACATTGTAAAACAGACCTGCCCACATACGCACACACACGAACGCACACGGACATCTATCAGAAACCAGAAGACGTGTGATCATCTACACGCACCGTGGCTGTGCGCAAAGAAGCGCGGAGACGACCGATTGCTCGGAATTGCATCGAGAGAGACAGTACGAGGAGCACTTGGGATGGGAGAATGTACTGTCTGCAATTCGGAGGCATCAGTTTGACTGTGAAGAAAAAGTAAGTCGGTTCGGACAGGCCACATCGCCTGAAAAAGACGCTCGTATGTAGTACGTTCAGCTTCTTTCACGCCATACGTAGCCAGCCGTGCAAATCGGCGGTGCGGAATCAGAGACCTCACACTCCCGCGACTTAGCCAGAGCCATCCCGTGGGGTTCGGTGAATCGGGACGACCGCCCCGGGCCCCGCGCTTTGGGGGGCCTCGCGCTTCGACGTCACGGTGGTGTCGGGTGTAATACTCCCGCCGATAGCAGGTGGTCAAGACTGATGATGGAGTCCCAGCCAAGGGAGAGAAAGCGGGGACTGTGAGATGAAATCAGATCGTGTGCAGGTGCTCGGTGGATTTGCCGCTTCGCGGCTAAATGAGAGACGCGGCGAAAGCGTGGGGAGGCCTTCATCCAACAGTGGATTGATAATGGCTGATGATATCGATGCGGTGGATGTGATCGGCATCTGTAATCCAGTGGCTGCGTGGCAGAGTTGACGGATGACATACACTAAGAGGAGGCCTGTGCGATACATTAACCTGCAGCAGCCAGAACAGCAAGTACATTGCTGGACTAAGGACTCGTTGCGTGGCGCCAAAGTGACATTCCGTCATACGTGTGGATTGTCCCCAGGCGCCTGTAGCCATATTTGTGCTGATGCAGACATTTCACTGCCCTTTAACCTGCACTTGTTTGTGATACGCATCACACGTTTGCTATAATCTCCAGCCCACCGTTGTTATTGCTAGCTAATTCATCCCACGTTCCACACAGAAACTGGCCACTGTAACAGCCTGACTGCTAGAGTAATTGTTTCGTGAGCTGGTGCTGATGCTGGGATAAACCTAATTCTGCTTGGCATCTCCAGTTTTACACGGCGTGAGGATACCAATGCGGATAAGTAGCTTTGTTTGACGGCTATTGACTTCCCAAACAAATAAAGATGTAGTTTATTTATTTGTCGAGACACAGAACAGAGTTCTCCTGGTTTTCTTTTTTACAATGCTCCACAACAACGCATTATGGGCTGCTTGTATGCGCCGTTGCATTTGGTGTTGAAGAGGACCCCATGGTGGAGATGGAGTGCTCTTGCCAATAATATCTAGATACTCAGTAGCACTCATTGTTAATGGGCCAGACCCAGATAATCGAAACGGTTCAAAGTTTGTTTTCTTGAACAAATGCAGGTGGATATGAACAAATATTTGACTGATGTGGAGGCAGTTGATGTGCTTTAAAAGCGGCAATGACATGGATCCTAATCAACATGCTCATAGGCTGGGGTTAGTTGATCGCTACAGGATGTGAAAATTGTCTCGATATACTAGCGTCCGAGAGCAGAAGAAACACTAAGGCACGCAAGACATAAAACGGAGCTGTACCAAACAGCGAGGACTATGTAATGCAATCCCTATTTAAGAAAAAAAAATAACAATTTTAATGTCTTGCAAATTGCAGTTATTTTGCGGCAGTTATTTGGACAGAGTATACAATTTCATTTGACGGTGGTAGAAAGGAAACCCGCGGTAAATCGAAAATAATTGCTGTGCATTTGCCACGCCATAGCGGTGGCTAAAATGCAGTTCTGAGCTGACAGTACATTAGTCTGTTCCACTTAAAGACTGAGGCAATGAAGATGTGAGCGGGCATCCGTGCGGAGTGCCCTCCTCCATCCCGCGGGACTTCCAATCCAATCAAATGTCCAGCAATCCGGAGGCTTAATGTCAGGCCTCGATGACAGCGCGTTAGATCTGTTCATAGAGCCACGTGTAATCGATCGGCCACGTGTGCACCACAATTGGCCGCATGCCGCGAGTGGTAAAACAGGTCCACAAACTAGAAACATAAATAGCCTGGACGAATGCACAATAATGTTTCAAATGAAAAATTCCGGGCAGTGGATTACATTTTGACTTAAAACTTTCGTGACTGCAGGAATTCAAATTCTTTGGTTGGTTCGGTAAAGTCACGTAGATAGAAAATAATGAAATAAATATAAAACAGTGGATTACAATGCATGTTGTAGCCAGCAATGCCAAGTTAGCTGGAGGACAGCATAACAATGCTTCGTCTCTATTACCATTGTTGTGCAAATCGTGCTGTCGCTGTCATAGCTGGAGACGAGCAGAGGTTGCATCGCGCTGTGTCAGAAACCGAGCCCCTCAGATGGATTGGGTCGCGGAATTCAGAGGGAAATCACGGTGCACGGTTTCACGGCAGTCATACCAATAGTCTAAATTCTCAAAACTAAATATTGACAAATTAAGTGCATAAAAACTCGTGGAGAGTGATATGTTTTCTGAAGAATAAGATGGATAAACAGTTTTAACACGAAAATTACATTTGCAGTAACTTTGATTCATTTATGTTTTTGCTTATGGAATAAAATAACCTCCACTAGTAATGGGTGATTTAAAGTCTTTAAAAGACCACTTTACAGCGATGTTGCGGCACAGTAATAATTATTACTTCGCACAGAGGGGGTGTTTGCGGCAATTTAAATGTCAACCGTGGTGCAAGCCAGTTCCATGGTCGTCGAGGCACCTACAAGCAGATTAGACACGAGATGCCCTTTGCAGTCTCCAAATCTCTCCCTGGCCCCGCAGAAACCTATCTCGCTGACCTAATCTCCCCTCTCTCGGCCATAACCATCTCGATCCTACAGGGACCTCTGCTTTACCCTTTACCCCCTTAATCCATCTTCGCACCATCGGGGAGACGGTTACAAGGGGGCATCTCCAGCCCACCACGTGCCTTTCTCCGCCGCTTGGAACGGAGTCCCCTTTGGTGCGCAATGCGGACCCAATCTCATTTTTCAAATTCAGATTTCGCAGCAAGCAACCTCCAAATGCCGGTGACTAATAACTCAGTTTTTTGGCATTATTTCTGTCCAACATTTTAGCCCATTTTCAGCTCTGCCAGGTGATTGATTGTGTTTCCATGTAATTAATAGCGTAGAATTATATATATATAAATAGTTCTACTGTATGTATAGATGTTATTGTATCGCGGTATATTGAATGTGTTTCATTGCAGTGTGTCGAACTGTGTAGGGGTTTTTTGACTTCAGTTTGCATGAGGTTGGACACGCAGCGTTTTCATCGTTTCACATTGCACCGTGTATTGCATTGTTTAAGTTCTCTATCTGTGTATGTAATTGCATGAACCATGTTGCGTTGCACGCGTCACAGTAACGATAATAACGTCATGTACTCGCCCCTTTGACAGTCGTGGCTAGGATTTGAACTCACGTGGGCAGGTAGCCACAAGCTCAGTGGGCCTCACCTGGTAAGACATAACATTGTTTGGTTTAATTTGCATGTATTTTTTTGTGATTTGTTCATCTCTCTTCCGTACTTTGCACTCCTATCGCGTGTTTGGAATGTTTGTTGTTGGAACGTTCTGGGCATCTGTGGGAAAAGAGCTTTACAGCTCATCGGATTCTTCCTCCAGTATAAATACATATTCTGATTCTGAGTACGCAGACCACCGTGCCACCACTCCCCCCCTCCCCGAACCCGAATGTTATACAGCGGATTGCGTCTCGGAGGAAGGTGTCACATCTGCGTCGGCAACGAGATTGTGCCCGGCGTGCGTCTTACCTCCCAGAGAGTTGCTGATGAAGATCTTGTAGCGGAGAGAGTTGCATAGAACGACGCCCACGAACTTGCGGTACCACGTGCGCTTGACGAACTGCTTGCCCCGGCACTCGGTGTGCGAGTCGTCGTAGCGGAAGGGAAACTGTGTCCAGATCGGCTCCGTGCCTGCGCGCGAGCACCCAGGGTCATTAGATCGAAGCAAACGTCAATTGTGCACACGCACACACACGGACACAGACACACACGCGCACACACGCGCACACGCACATATACACACACACGCACGCGGACACAGACGCACACCACACGCGCACACACGCACATACACACACACGCACGCGGACACACACACACACGCACACACGCACGCGGACACACACACGCACACATGCATACATACATACACACACGCACATACAAAGATCCCCCGTATAGCCTTAACAGACTGTAGGGGCAAGTGCTGTTAGCGAGCACCTATGAAGGCCGGAACGGTACACGAGGGGGTGGGTGGCCAGCACCACGCCCGACCGCCTTTGTCTCCCCAGTGGCGATGTTTACACACCGCACCAGGTACTAATTTAAGGCTGAGTCGACCTAGGGGAGGCCCAGGACCGGTTCAGATAATCGTCACTGGTGTTGGCCGTGAGCGGGAATCGAACCCGGGTCGCCAGGTTCATAGCGCAGCGCGCTAACCGCTACACCACCGCTCCCCACTACACGCACATACACACCCGCACATACACACACATACACACACGCACGCGGACACACGCACGCGGATCAAGAGACAACGGTAGAACGGTAGACCCGCGCAGGGCTGTTGAGGGCAGGTGCTGTTGTGAGCGGGCACATGCTCTCGCCCGCGGCTAAGCTCAAACAATCGTAGAAGGTGGAGGTAAAGGTGCAGCCCTGAATTTACTTGCTCATGCTACTGCTGGCGGATGAGGGTGTTTGGCCCACTCTTCCGTGTTGGTCAATAGAATTGGAAGAGGTACCCCCACGCTTCACGGCACCATACATGGCCTGCCAATCGATTGTGTGATCAACTCATTTATATCGCTGGGTGAACGGGCGGAGGGATTTAAGAAACCTCCTCCGTTGTTGCAACTGCCGTGTATGGAGAGGGTATGGAACTGGAGACCTCCAGACCGCAAGTCCGGTGCGCTGACCGTGACACCGCGGTCAGCAAGCATCCTTTGAGCAGTCACGCATGCAGTTGTTTTCTTTCGGCTGAGAAATTTAGTGTTTGGACTACTAAATACCGCCGTGGAAAAAAAAAAACTTCTGTTGGATCGTTTAAAAAAAGTGTTAATTGGTCACGAACGTTTGGAAAACCGACACGGTTGTCGCAACACAATGTTCTTGCTTTCTTGTGAAGTACGTTATTTATATTTACACTTGCTTAATTTAAGCCAAATCCTCAAGAGAATGGTAGCGAATCGATTTCTGTGCTCGCGCAGCACATTTAATCGCGGTAACCCCATACACTGTGTCAGACGGGGCGCTCAGGGGAAGCTCAGATGGTATAGCCTGCGCTAAAATTATCCAACACTCGGCTGGAAAATAGCGGCATTAAAAGGTGCCGTGAAACCCCTCCAAAAAATCAAACGAACCAGTCGTGTAATACGTGCTACAGACGCCCCCCCCACCACCACCAACCCCCCGTGAAAGGCGTCCCTTCTTTATCACGGACATTTTTCAATTTAGCACTGGCTGAGACTCTACAAAGCGACCGCTTCCTCCCCCCACCCACCCAAAGATGTTTTTCACACAAGAAGCGTCTGAGCTTTACCACCCCCCCCCCCCCTTCGGTTTAACTTATCTGGTTTGTTTGGCAATTTTTGGAGAATTATGAGAGCAAGGAGGTCTGGTTTCCAGATAAGTATGGAGCAGACTTTTACGGCACAACACTGGGTCTCATTTAGTAAGAATTGTGAGCAGGCGGCACCCGCCCTGACTTTTAATCCCCTCGTGATATTACATTTTTTTTGTGCGAGGGGAAGTGAGGACGGGAGGGTCTGCAACGGAGTGTGTGAGTTATCTTGAACGAATGAAATGTCTTTCAAAAAAAATATAAAACATTTTTTTTTGTACTCACCAGATGACCGATCAAATATCACCGAGTTTTCTGCAACACAAATGTGTAAAAAAAAAATAACAAGTGCGTCAGTTCTCACGAAGGGAATCTGCAGACATAAGGGTTGCATTCAAACGAAAAATAATGAAACAAAAGAAGCGATGGAAACGCGCCACCCCTCCTACAGCCCCACATAGCGGTGTTTATTCCACACCGAGGCCTAACGAGTGAACACCTAACGGCTGTATAAAGGATTTATGGTTAGGTGGGCCCTGTTTAAATATCCCCATTGTTAAAATGTGACATAAATTCAATGGTCTTGCAAGAGAATGCCACGAAGTGAGCCCGCGGTCACATGTGCTTGGGTTTAAGGGTTATACAAGCTGAGCAGGACAGTCGAATAACAGGGCAGTCAAATAAGTGAGATTATGAATAGCCATGCCTTGCTCAGTAACCCAAGTGGGTGTGTTGCAGGCATTAATGAGTTTGCAATTGCAAATGCCTTGTATCGATGTAAAAAAGGTGGTTAAAGTTTTGTTGATGATAATAACCATTTTTATTTATCTCTAAAGGCGTCACTGAGTGTCAATACGTACTTTCAGAACGGTCCTGCATCTGTAAATAAAATGATAAAAGGGGCAGCCCTGCAATTGCTTGCTCACAACCACTGCTGGCAGAAGGGACTCCACTACAGGGAGTTATCGAGAGCCCTGATTGAGGGTGGTTTTTTTGTCCCACCCTTCCCGGCTGGCCAAATGTGTTGGAAGAGATGAGAGTACCCACACTTTACCCCACCCCCACGTGACCTGTCGATGGACGAGTTGCGGTGAAGCTGATTACGCTGCTGGATGGATAGAAGTGGTGCGTGATGGGGGGGGGTGCTCATAAACTTGCCCCATTGATCTAGAGACCGATCTTTATGTACAAATATATTGTTACTATAAAGGAATACATAAAACGAAATAAATATCTATCATAAACTCTTTGACTCCCTGGATTGCCTTGTCCTGAACAACGATGAAAACTACAGATCACAGAATGATGTATGAATCTCATTTTAAAGAAACATTTCAAAAAATTCCAGTCGTTCTCAATCCGCCAACGGACGAGGGCTTTCCCTGGGCAACGTTGGTCTTGGAGGTTGATGAAGGGGTGGGAAGGTTTGGTTCGGGCATCACTCGCCACTGATGTTAACCATGGCTCGGAATCGAACTCCGCTCTCCAGGATTTAAGTGCATAACAAGAGCCACTCCAACTGTAAACACCTCGTTAACAATCTCAACAAGTTGAATTTAAGCCAAGCCATGAGATTCAGGCACCAGTGGCAATCCTTCTTCAGGGACCCCGAGAACAATTTAATAAATACTTTTTTTGTGAAGCCCCAATAGGAAAACAAACTACTCATTTCTAAGTAGTATCTGACTTGCCAGACTCTGTAGTGAAAGAAACAGTGTCAGACGGAGGCCCGAGTGTGTCTTCATTCTTTGCCTGCACTTTAAACACATACCTGCAAGAAGAAAACACACGAGTGTTAAAATTAAATACTGTACTTCATCATACATATCGAATTATAATTGGTTTGTTGGGTTTTAGGCCACGTAATGATCTGGCCAAATGTATTTCCTGAAACCCTCCTCCACCCGACACGGCCAAACAAATCGACGCACCAGTTGTTATTGTTTCAGCTTACCAGGAAGTTAAATAATTATTCTCACGACCAGATTGAGTGCTTACACATGCGACGTTTCGCTTGAAAATTCACCAAGCTTCGTCAGAAAACCAGAACAGAACATTCTGATTTGGCCAAGTCCAAAAATCAATTTATGAACCATAACTTCGGCTGTGAAAACCTAGGTGTTAAATCATGAATATGACTTATAATTCTGCAGCTGCTTGTTAAACCAATGCTGGATAAAGGCCACCCCTCGCTGTGTCAGTCACACGATATGTTGTTTGACCATTCTTCACCACGCTGGTCAGTGCGGGGTTGGTGAAGGAAAGAGAGAGAGTTTCCCCAGAACCGGTCCTGATATCACTCGCCACTGATGTTATCACTGGCTGGGAAGTGTACTGTACGTAGAACTTCTTTGGCACCGTACGTAGCCAACCACGCTAATCGAAAGTGCGGGGGAAGGACAACAAACGAAATACAAATATCAATTTTACGAAAATGAGTTTTCAGTCTAGAATTAAAAGTGCGTAGCTCCGGTGGCTTCCTAATATCAGAAGGAAGAGCGTTCCAGACGGCCGCAGAAGCGCAAATGAACTCGGGTGGCAATGTTCATCGTGCAGGGCACGAATCACTTCGGCTGCAACTCCATCGTGAGCGGGACATTAAGTAGAAATTATACAAGTTTTGTGTTTATCATCTCCTCTCTTGTTGCTACATCGTCTTTAGTCTCTCGATGTGGGTTGCATACTTCGCATTTTGAGCGGCAAATGTAATCGTAGCTTTACATCTGGAGACAGGACTGTGGGTGGGGGGGGATGTGAGAGAGAGAGGGGGAAAGAGGAATGCTGATGGTTTAAGCACTGAGGTCATGGGAATTGTGGAATGGATTTCATCGTAATTATTGGGTACAGGTTTTTTCTTTTCTTCGTTGCATCATTGCGATGTCGTTGAGGTTATTTAAGTACCTTGGCTGTGTCAGAGACATGTGACTACAATGGGTAATTATGCATAATTCAGCCTTCATGATTGAGACCCAAAGTCAAGACAACTGGATCCAAATGTTGCCCTGATGAAGTATCATAAGCAGTTGTACTACATTGGAGTTGGAGTAAGAACATTGGATTAATCTTCTTGGTTCTTTCGGTAAAGTAACGTAGAATGGAAATAATAAAATAATAAAAATAAAACATAATAAAATAATTCTCACGACGTTTCAGCCACAACGCAAGACAAAGTCTGTCTTCTCGACAGACCTCTTCTCCACCTGAGGACGGCTGCTTGCGTTGTGGCTGAAACGTCGTGAGAATTATTTTATTATGTTTTATTTTTATTATTTTATTATTTCCATTCTACGTGATTTTACCGAAAGAACCAAGAAGATGAATCCCTGCAGTCACGAAAGCTTTAAATCGAAATTTAACATTGGATTTCAGATGTGTTTTGCAGAGGGCCTGAGTCAACTATACCACTTTCCGTAAGCGACGAGAAAACTTCTCGTGTCGTGCAGGCTGGAAAGAAGTAGGCAAACATGAACACTAATACGGCCACACATTCAGCTCTATTGAGTGGGTGGTTTAGACAAGGCTGAGAGCATAATGTGCTGGTCACGTGATATGAACGCCAAGGCATGATGGGAGTCGTGTCATCCTGCTGTTAGTTAGTGAGCACACCTTTGCGTTTAAATGTCGATTTAATGCTTTCGTGACTGCAGGGATTCATCTTCTTGGTTCTTTCGGTAAAGTCACGTAGAATGGAAATAATAAAATAATAAGAATAAAACATAATAAAATAATTCTCACGACGTTTCAGCCACAACGCAAGCAACCTGAGGACGGCTGCTTGCGTTGTGGCCGAAACGTCGTGATAATTATTTTATTATGTTTTATTTTTATTATTTTATTACTTCCCTTCTACGTGACTTTACCGAAAGAACCAAGAAGTTGAACCTTTGCGTTTGTAGTTTCCTCTGGGGCTCATTGATAACTTTGAACCAAATAATTGTATTTTAACAACAACATTTTAGGTTAGAAAAAAACAACTCAATGTATTAAGAAGAAGACGACAAATTTTTTTTGGGAAAACATCATCGGGCAATACGTGTGCTTTACCACACAGATTTCACCACGTAGCAATTATGGAACCTCATTTGCCAGTAAAAAATATGATAATTGGTTTTTTACCCTTCTATCTGGCAACAAAACTGAGACTAGGCTCGAAGGAAAGCTGTCTCGGGTGTGGACCAATCAACTTCATGGACAGTGCATATATTATCAGAGTTATGTTTTTTGTTTGCATTATGGCTACAGGTATTGTGGTCTAGACAATGTGTCTGTCATGTTCTGTTACAGCAGCACTGAGTTATACACTCACACACGTAAACTTATCAAATATAAGAATACATTATACCCTTTCTGGCAATAAAACAGGTGTTAAGATGTTCAAGCACCAAAGATAAACTTTTTTCAAGGAATCAAGCTCGCATTAACCACACGTACTTGTGGTGAACATGCAAACAAACATGCTCTGATCATATATGCAATGTCTTTGAAACTGGTGTAGGCCAGATTTGAAGCTTTCGTGACTGCAAGGATTCATATTATTAGGTTTTTTCCGGTAAAGTCACTGACTTTACCGAAAAAACCTAAGAATATGGTGTAGACCAAACATGTACGTGTGGTTAATGCAGACTTGATTCCTTGCAAAATGTTTCAATTTGGTGTTTGAACATCTTAACACTGGCATCAAGGTATCCCATGATACACGTAAACTTGTTCCTGCCTGAGCTCCCGTTTATCTTCAGTGCACGACCCCTATTTATTTCTTAATGTTTAATATAAGCGCAATGCCATAAGCGATGACCTGCCCATGAAACTTGCAAAGGCTATTATTTATTCTCAAACCCCGAATTGCATTGAAAGTCTGCAAACAGATGGCATGCTTACTCTTAGTTCTTTCGGTAAAGTCACGTAGGTAAAAAATGACGGTCCCACCTGATGACGGAGACTTGTGTTGCCTCCGAAACGTCGTGATTTTTATTTTATTTTTTATTAATTTTAATTTAATGTTTTACCTACGTGACTTTACCGAAAGAACTAAGAGTATGAATCCTTGCAGTCACGAAAGCTTCAAATCTAGAATAGATGGCATGCTCTTTTAAAAAGTCGGCTAAAAAGGCGATGAGGGTTCAAAACTTCAAACCAAATGACCCTTGATCTCCGTGACGCCTGTAGACCAGTCTCCCTCACCTACTTTGAAGGAGGGCATGCGTTCGATCCTGACCCTGATGATGCCTGTATATTTGGAGAGTTCGTGTGTTCTCTCTCCCCATGGCGGTCGCGTGGATTTTTCTCCAGATTCCTCCTGGTTTTGCCCCCGACCCCCTCTTTATTTATAAGGGGGCCTGGGTCTTCAAGTAGATTGGGGGGGAGGCTCAGCCACTTCCAGCCCCCCCCCCAAGCCCGCTGCAGCCACGAGGCTTCTGTAGTCGGTCGTCACGAGAGGCTTTGTTTGTGCAATGATTCTGAGCTCGTGGCACGGCCTATAAGCTTTGCTGCCCTATTTGGGATGTTTCTTCTTCCAGTGGCTGAAGAGGCAACAGCTTTCTTGAGCTCGTTTCCACTCACATCGTTGTTTACTTCAAGTCATCATCCCCGGCCTCGCTATGGACATCGAGTGTGCGATCTTGTTGGACATTCGGCCGTGAATACAGAAGACTTCACAACAAAGTCATCTGCGCCAAATGTGCCAACACTTCTCTCCAATAATATTACGTCAAAATGAATGTGTCGTGAAACCCTGCCACCACCCGACAGGCAAAAAAAACCCTATATTGTGGATGATATTGGTGGTGAAAGCGTGTGTATGTAACGTCGGGGGCTCTCTCGCAAGCAAACTTGCGAATACTTCATGGGGCTTACATTGCACACGATGTCATTCAGCAGAAGAAGTTTAATGTCGTGATTATCTGTAAAATGCCAGCAATCATGCTGTGTACTTTATTCCCTGATACTTTCACCAATATCAGGGATGCGTTCCTCTCAAGAGCTTGCTGCAAGGTGCTCAGGTAATGGCTCGACAGAGATTGATATTCAAATACATCTCTGCACAGCTTTGAATGTTAACGCCCTCATAAGCTTAGGGGCCATCCATTTAGTACGTACGCATGGAGGGGGAAGGGGGGGTTAACCCAAATGCGTACGCTTGCGTGTGGGGGGTCTACTGACAATGTACATCGCACAGGAAACGGGGGGGGGGGGGTGAAGCCTCGATAATAATTTGTCGACATTGGCATTCAAATGAGTTAGATCGTCCGGCGGTGGACTGTCTGTTTGCTTAAACACGTTAATATTATTACTCCTTGATCGTTTCTGCGTGTATACAATATCGGCCGTTCTATAGGATTCGGGGGGGTGGGGTGCGTTAAGCGTACGTAGGTGGGGGGGGGGGGTGTAAAAAGTACGTGTGCGTACAGGGAGGGGGGGAAGGGTTAAGTTTTGACAGATTTTTGCGTACGGACTAAATGGATGGCCCCTGAGTGGGGTTACTCCGGGCACACGGGTTCGTTCTGCATGCCAATCACTGGATGTTAAAATTGTTCAATGTCCCAGCTTGGACAGACACTCCTAGTCTTGAGAAAGGCTACCCCGTTGTCCCGAAACATTTGCAACAAAAGTCGAATTTTGTTTTACATTTTTCTGGCACGTGGCTTTTTTATTCTTAGGTTTTTTTTCGGTAAAGTCACGTAGGTAAAAAATTTAAATTAATAAAAGTAAAATAAAAATAAAATAAAAATCACGACGTTTCGGAGGCAACACAAGCTTCCGTCTTCAGGTGGAAAGTGAGTAGTGGCCGTGGTTGGGAGAGCAGAGGGGGGGAGGCTGTGAGTGGCCGTGTCTATGTTAATGTGGGTCGGGCTTGACAGATGGCTTTTGTCAGGGGCCGGGGCCAGGTGAGTAGTGGGCGGGGTTATAAAGGAGTGGGCGGGGCCAGGTGAGTAGTGGGCGGAAGGTGGGGAGAAGTGGGCGGGGCCAGGGGAGTAGTGGGCGGGGTTATGGAGGAGTAGGCGGGGCCAGGTGAGTAGTGGGCGGAAGTTGTGGAGGAGTAGGCGGGGCCAGGTGAGTAGTGGGCGGGGTTAGGGAAAGTAGGCGGGGTCAGGTGAGTAGTGGGCGGGGTTAGGGAGAAGTAGGCGGGGCCAGGTGAGTAGTGGGCGGGGTTAGGGAGAAGTAGGCGGGGCCAGGTGAGTAGTGGGCGGGGTTAGGGAGAAGTAGGCGGGGCCAGGTGAGTAGTGGGCGGGGTTAGGGAGGAGTAGGCGGGGCCAGGTGAGTAGTGGGCGGGGTTAGGGAGGAGTAGGCAGGGGCCAGGTGAGTAGTAGGCGGGGTTGGGAGAGCAGAGGGGGGGGGGGGAGCTGTGAGTGGCCGTGTTTATGTTAATGTAGGTCGAGCTTGACAGACGGCTGCCAGCTCACGATATGTTGCTGCTGAGCCTTCCACAAATTTGATAGCCTTACCTAAGCAGGATCCTCCTGAAAATCATCTTTACACGTAGGATTTCCTGGATAATTAGAGATAAAATATATTCCTATTTTCATTGCCCTGCTTGACTTTGGAACTCCTATAATATGTTTTCCCCAAGTTAACTACCACTTTTGTTCAATGCAATCGTGTACTAGTAATTTATTATTATCTATAATATTCTTATTTTCCTAGTTTCTGGCCAGTGTGTATTTTAGCCCTTCGGGCCTGCGATAAAAAAATGTCAAAAATCTATCTCAATGAATGTTTCTATTACGTATCATTTTAATTGTGCATTTCCACATCATTGAGTAGTGCATTTAAAACCCACGGCGTTGGGGCCTGTGCTACTTCAGAGGTAAACGCAGAAACATGGAAGCACCGGATGCCCTTTAAAGCAAATGTTATGCTTCCAATAATTGAGGAAATCGGGAAACTAAAACTGAACGGGCGGCGAAATAAAATTCTGCGTAGTCCGCGCTTTGTTTTTGTAGGGCTGCGCAAAGCGACTGCTGTAGGGCGTCCTCAGCGGCCGGCCATAAATGACGTTACGCGATTTTGGACGATTTTTGACCCCCCCCCCCTCGTCACACGGCGTCACAAAAAGTCAGATCCCCCCTCAAATATGACGTCACAAAGCTCTGCCGCCCCCCCCCAAACCATATTTCCATTTTTAAAATAAAACATGCTTCAAATCGCTTTAAACTATTGTCATTGTAGTGCGTATTTAATGTGGCGCTGCACTCTGATGTTGTAGGAGAAAACATTTATTAAAAAGTCTATTTAATTCAGTAGAACGTGTTGTCTATATTTATTCAAAATTGCGCATTTTGATGTGACGTCACATGTCTCAAACCCCCCCCCTCTCGTCACACATCGTCACAAATGTCTGACCCCCCCTCCCTCCATAGGTGCGTGACGTCATTTATGAACGGTCCCCCTCAGTGCTTTACGCGATTTCCCATTGGCGCACTTCAACTCAGTCGGTGTGGAGTGCGGTGAGCCGCCCTCGAAGCCGCCGCCGCTGTGCCGCGCGTGTGAGTCGGTCGAACTCACTTGGTGTTGGGCTGCAGGTTCTCCACGGGGAAGATCGTGTCGTTGCTCACGTTCGCCTGTAGCCACTTGTTCATCTTGGCTCCTTCCGTCGTGGCGCTGCTCACCACGTATCCTGGGGAGAGGGTCACCGGGTCGGCGTGAGGGAGACGCAGTTCATAATGGGTGACCCTTTTCTTTTTTTAAATAGCCGCCGCTGAGTGCCAGGCACAAAAAAAACCCCAAAATGTCAAGCGGCCAGAAAAAAATATGAGCGCTATTAAAGGTGGAATTCAGACTCTGTCGCCTCGACGGACCTGGTTTTCACCTGAGGACGGCTGCTTGCGTTGTGGCCGAAACGTCGTGAGAATAATTGTATTATGTTTTATTTTTATTATTTTATTACTTCCCTTCTACGTGACTTTACCGAAAGAACCAAGAAGAGGAATGGTTGTTGTTTTTCATTTGTTGATGCGCATAAGACACATTTAGCCGTGAGGTGCTTCAAAGAGGGTCAACATTTTTTTTTATTGTGCAAGGCGATGATAACTTGAGAAAAGAGACGATAGCAAGGGATTGCATTGGCAAGCAGCGCCAGGGTGGCTGAACACGGCGTGGTTGAGACGAGACGGTCTGGTAGATTCAATATATAGAGCGAGTGAAACGTGGTTTGACAATACTTCACCATGCTGGTGATCGTGTGGGTTAAAGGTGGGGGTAGGGGACATCACTCACCATTGATGGCTATCCATAGCTGGAAATCAAACGCAGTTGCCATGTTTACATTGTGCTAAACTACTACAGCGTGTTAACCACCACCATTCTTTCTCATTTGAGTGGCCATAACAAAGTAGTTTTAGTTCAAATTACGGATAGATGTATAACTCCATCGAAAAAAGATTTCAGAAAAATATTTGTATTATTGATAAAACTATAGGTAAAACAATATTAATGTTAGCCATTTGAAGAGTCAACGTTAATATTTAATATTCTGCACGTATCATTTTAATCGTCAATTCAAACAGCATCCTGCACACTTCAACTATACACCTGGGGCATGGAGTCATTCCAGATGAGATGAGATGCCGACGAGATATTGAGAGATGCCCACCGACACTTTAAACAAGTCTCTTATTATTTTGATGCCTATAGTGCATGCCAATGTTAGCGATGTGATGGCAACATATATTGGCCGTCGTGTAAATTATACCTTTGCAACCAATTGCTTTAATCAAGTGCTCGCAGACCACGCTCGTGAAATCAGTCTGGCCATCAACACGGGACTGGAGTGAACTACAAAGAGACGCGGTGCATCGACCACGACATATTTATTTTATTTTAAAATTTTAAAACCGCGCACAGCTTGCACGCCTTAGAGTCGCTAATGCGAGTGCACTTTTAAAATCAAATTAATGACCTCTGCGCTTGCTTCTTATTTATTTATTTTGCCACCCCCCTCCCTTCACCTCTACAAGCGCAATTCCGCTCTGACCTTTATTCTTTGAAACACTGCCGACTTCCTCGCATTTGCGCGGCTCGCATGCCGCTGTGGGGGTCATGCGGAATGCCCGCGCGCGGGCGCACTTTCGACTCCGATTCCGGTCTCCGCTCCCGATGTCTGTGCGTGCACCCAGGGTTGTCAATTTCCAGTTGTCGTGAGGCTCACAGAAAATGACAGATTTTTTTTCTTCAGTTTTTCCTTCCCTCTATGCCACGTGCAAATTCAGACTGAATGTTTTTGCTGAGCTTTTTTTTTTACAAATGAAGCAGCTGCCAGCGTAACTCTCGTGTGAAACTCATGCGTGTAATTTATTTACATTTTATATATTTATCTTGTGCGAATCCCCCGAAGGTTATGTCGGCGAAGTGCGTGGAGTCGCGCGGAACGTTTCTTTGAATTAAAAAAGACGGCGATCGGGGGCCGAGGCTGTGCGTCAAAATCAAGGCGGCCGCCGCGACTGTTTTTGACGAGGCGCCTCGTGCGAGCGGAGAGGGCCTCTGGACAAACGCCACGTGAAAGGTGGCAGGGGCAGCGGCAGAGGCGAGCGAAGAAGTCCCGAATGATCCGAGACGTCGAGACAGACCGCAAGGCTGTAGCAGAGGTCATTGCGGGGAGAGAAACAGCTGGGGATTTAACCCAAATGCGTTTTCTCTTTGGCTGGAGGTTTCCTACTCTCTGCTGGGACGCAGCTGCTCCTGTAGCGGGGAGTGTTTATGAGGCCAAGCGTGGACAGTGTTACACTCTTACCGGAATGGGCCCCCCGAACCCAAACGAAAAATAAAAAATTCTCCCCTCTCCCGCACGGCGCTCTCGCCAGAGCATGGGAAGGGGGCTTTGATTGATCTCGTGTGCATGTTTTTAACATTAAGCAAAGGCTTCAAGTGCCTGACGAGCTTTGCACATGTGAATTTTCAGATATTATTGGGTCACTTACAGTAACGTAAGAGAGAGAGAGAGGAAACAAAATAAACAAGGGATGAAAATTTAAAATTAGTAAAATTTTGGTATAATTGCTGTCAGATGGGAGAATAAAACGACGAGGTAATATTTTGCTCGCTCTACATTTCGTGTACAAATGTTTGCGCGTACGGTACATACATATACACACGTGCGGTTTATGTATAATTCACAAAATGGTACCTCATGCCCCTTGCGCATGTAATCTGAATTTAAATTGCTTCATTTAACGTTAATGAGGAGCACATGTCACGTTAGATTGTGAAAATAAAAATATTTTCACTCGCTATACGGACGTCACAGACACGGGAAAGTATTCGCTCCATTCCAATTACTCCCTGGGCCAGTTAAAGTTCACGGTCTCGCAAGTGGACGTCATCGGCGTGCCGCCGACCCCGTTGCACACGTACGTGTACCCCTGCCTAGCGAAGCAAAAATTACCACCGGGGCAGTCGCAAATCAATTTCTACACACGTGTGTGTGTGTTTTCGTGTTTCCTTGAGGAGGCGATGAAGGGAGGCCAAACAAGTTGGTCAGAGGTAGAAAAAAAAACCCACCTGATTGCTTTGAAAGTCAGCTCAAACGGCTGCAAAGCTAACGGGCTTTTGAATGTTGATCATCGAGCTCAGGGTGATGTCCGAAATCCAGCACTTTCTGCCATTGATTAAGTCCGTAGCAAACAGGAAAATGCGCGCGAGGGCTGGAAATAAATAGAAAGGCAGTTTCTCGTCCAAGCAGTCGTAGTAATAACAACAACTACGTCGCACGTTCAGCTCTTGTGCCGAGGGCATTCGACTCCGCAAAGGTGGCGACAGCTGCCGATGCCCTCCCGCCGCCGTGTGCGAGCGGACCTTGGGATTGGCGGTGTGTCGGCAGCGGTAGCTCGCCTCAAAAGCGAATCGCCGCCCAGGTGTCATCTCGCTCTCGTTAATGATCCCCGCAAGTGTTTTAATTGGAGGTGATCATACAATGCCTCTGCTGGGTCTCATTTTGTCCTCGTTAAGTAGGCAATACATCAATTACAGCGAATTAGAGTGAAGCTCTTCCAGGTGTCATCTCTTTCTCATTAAAGGGCCTGCATCTGAATAATTTGAGCGCGGTCTGACTAATGTGCCGATCTTCGCTGCGCGAAGCACGTGCATTTTTTCTCTCTCTCTGTGTCGAGAGCTGGGAGCGAGTATTGAAACCGGGCGGAAAAAAAACGTGTTTTAAATCATAATATACCATAAATTATTTTTGAAAAGTACACAGGCATCTTAGTATATCATCATCAGCATCATCAGTTATTGTAAATCCATTGCTTCAATGCCTATCAATTGCCACGCTCGTTATATTCAATTGTCAAAGTGGTGACATAGTATATTCAATTTGATCCTCCAGGCATTTGAATGTTGCTTATCGTTAACCTAAAGTCAGCTACTTGCTGCCCTAGATTTTTTTCTCCCGTTGCGTATGTAAATGTGTCACGTATATAACAATAATTATAATGAGAGGCAACGTTCTCCCGTGCTCAATTGTGTGCAGGGCGATGCACGTCTCCACTGGTGACCCCATGAACCAGTGGAAGCAATGTCGCATATTGCTAAGCATTTTATTGACCCCAACCCCCTCCCCCCAGACAGTTGATGGATTGAGTTGATACCCAACCAGGTTTGAATTTATAGCAATAAAAAAAATTGTGTTCATTTCATCAGGAAGTGGGATATCGTCATCATTTTGTACAAAGAACGAAACGTGTCTGTCATTCTGTCTGTTCCCAGCGTTCTGATTGGCAAGGAAGGGTGGGGGGGGGGGGCTGCAGTGAGGGGGGTGGGGGGGGGGCACACACGAGGGGGGAGCACCCAGACGAGGGGGGGGGGGGGGAGTCCGTCGCTCACTGCTATATATCTATATGTTTATACAACCACAACAAACGACAGTGTGATTCAAAAGTCAACGTGATTCCTCGCTCACAAGAGCAATGAGGTGATGCTCATCTTCGAGTCGTCGGTGTAAAATCCACTGGACAACCACTGTTGACTTCCCCCACGAAGTGGTACTTATTTTATCGACCCCAGAGGGATGATGGGCTTAGTCAACTTCCAAGCGTGTCTTAAGGTCCGCGGACCTTCCACCCGCTCGCCGCTCGCTCCACTGCCGGAGCGACGCGGCCGGCGGGGATCTTGACGCGGAGCGGCGGTGTCACGCGAAGCCCCACCGGTGATGTTGCCGCTGTCGTTGTTGGGCTTGTCCCAGTCGAGGACGATGAAGGAGTGGCAGCCCTCGATGGCGACCACCGTCACGTTGAGCGAGTCGTTGAAGGAGTGACCCACGCCCGACCAGCTCTCTCCCTCCCCACGCAGGCGCTCGATCGTCTCCGTGATGGAGCACGGCACGCTCGGCTCCTTGTTGATAAACTTGACGTGCGGCGCTGTTCAACGCGGACAAATTCGATGTTAGGAAGCCACTGGGAGCTATGCTGCTTTTAAATCGTCTAGATTGAAAACTCATTTCTTTGGAAGTGTTTTTTTGTTTTGCATTTAGTTTGTTCTTGCCCCCCTCACCGCAACTCGGATTTGCGCGGTTGGCTACGTACGATGCGAAAGAAGTTCAAGATACATACGAACATACGGACAAAGATCCCCCGTATAGCCTCGACAAACACAAGTCAGTTAAAGCTAATCCAAGGGGCCAGAACAGAAATTGGTACCAGCAAGTCATGAGTACAAATCTTTAGTATTAGCGTTGTCCAGTATTTTTGTCGTTGTTGTGAAGCATTCAACAGCCCACGGAAGGTGTCCACTTACAATTGAACGAGTTGTTTGGCATGCAGAAGGAAACCAAGAGGACCCGGATTATTCGATGTTGCAGCTTTGGCACAAATCACCCAAAGGGAACGCCAACACATTCGTCAATATGGCTGTGTTATTGGCAAATATCAAATGTGTTTTTATTATCATAAGTGCCTGAAGAAAAACCCACTATGCACACGAGTGGGATCACGCTCAGAGCATCTTGCCGCCGGCTCACAGTCATCCTCGGCTTGTATTCCCAGGCGGTCACCCATTCAAGTACTAATCAGTTTCATCCTCGCTTAGCTTCGAACATCGGCGGAGATCAACTTTCTGCGGTGTCTGGCACACGGCAGGAAGCCACCCGCGGAGTGCCACGTGACCAGAAGAATCTGAGTTGCACCCCGACACATCCAGAGGGGATGCAGTGGACACATTCACTTGGGGGGGGGGGGGGGGCGTTCCCCATTGGGCTATCCTGTTGAATTGCCTGTCGCCTCGGTAACTCTCCATCCTTTCCCGTGGGTGTGTGTAGAGGGGGACACTTGGTGTCTGATTGGATGTCAGGAGGCGCGTGGAGTGAAATGGAGTAGTGTCTCACCGGTGAAGCGCTTCTTGCCGGCGATGTCAAACTCGGTGAAGGGAGTGGAGCTCAGCGTGCCGAGCTCCCAGGGTGATGAGGACGTCAGGTTAGCTGAACAAACGGCACGGAGACACTTTGCTGAGGTGTTCACATCATCTCGCTCGCCCGTACGCTCGCTCTCTCTCTCTCTCGCCAATGTGCTCACATCTCTCTCTCTCCCATCATCTCTCTTTCTCGCCAAAGTGTTCACATCATCTCGCTCTCCCATCCTCTCTCTCTCTCTTTCGCCCTTGGCACTATGAGCTCTGATTTATTCAAAGGAACTTTCCACAAACTCAAGTGAATGTTAACGATGCCAGTTATTTATTCTCCCATGAAATCAAAGGATTTTTATTTTTAAAAATAGAAAATTTTCACCCGACTGGACATCTGTGAAAAATTGCTTCATAGCTCATCGGATTCCTTCAGTTTAATTACAGATTTTGATTCTGGATTCGGAGCCCGTCACCAAACAAGAACAAATGAGGAGAGGGAGGACTGGAAGACATTTGGGAGGCCTTTGCCGAACATCATGAAGTTATAACCTCATCACAACAACAACATTTGTTCACCCAGAAAATACGCGATGAGTATCAACATTCAGCACGATCACTGCCGTCTCCTGGCCTCGTCGCAGCCTCACACCGACAGTCGCTTGTGCGAGTACCAACCAGGCTCCAAGCCTGCTTAGCTTCTCAGGTCATATGATGCTGTGTGCATTCAGGGTGATTTATAGTGATTTGGTCGTCGCTTATACAGTAAATATTTAAATTCACAGCCCTCAGCCAGTTGTGGAAATTCCACACTCCAATGACAAGAACCATTGCCTTCGTACGTTTTACCAACCTTTGAGATATCAGACATGTTGTTGACCCTTGGCTAGGATTCGAGTCAAGGCACCTGGACCAACTCGCATTGACCAGCGTGGTGAAGTATGGTCAAATAACTCCCGTGATGCCGTGCAGCGTTTTGGAGGCCCACTCATCCAGCATTGGATGGCCAATCTTGCAGTGCCTGTACATCTCCTCTGTCACGTGACCAGTAATTTCACAGTGAAAACACAAAGCCACTTTACAAATTTAGAAGCTTTCTTAATCGTGACCCGCAAATTGCCCCTGGCCACGTTTGCTCGTAGCGACAAACAAGGCAATGCGTGAAGCGTGTAGAGCTGCAAATGAAACAAGCATCGCTACGACCAACTGAGCACGCCCGTACAATGCGTTCTCGCAGTGTAATGTGATTCTTTTCAAAAACGATGAACATTTACTGACTCCTCGTGCCGTGCGGCTGAACCGCGCTCGTGAGTGACGCTCAATATCCGGGGCACTACATTGCATTTAAATCGTTCCCGTCTGCCGTGGTCACTCGACTCGGTGGATTAAACCCCTTGTCAGAAAAAAATGTGCCCGGCATTTTTTTGTTTGTAACTCTCCCGGCTGATAATGCAGCTTGGTTGTAAATTAAGGGGGCTGCAGTTTGACGTAATTTCGCATGATTTTTTTTTTTGCTGGAAGCATGCTGTGCGATGTTATCGGGCTCCACCACGAGTCTTTGTTGTTGTTGTTGCACGAAGTCCTCACACGGCACAGAAGCATCCCCACCAATTTCTGGCAACGATGCCTCTCGCTTATCTCTAAGACTTTTGCCGAAAAAGCCCAGGGCAAAATAATAACAGGCCACGATACCAGATGGGGGGTTTCTTGAAAAGCTAGGCTAAGGCACGTTTGGAAAGGGAATTTAAGTCTCGTTTATACATTTCCGTTGAATCTACAGAACATCTGCGCGAGTAATTCCGTGAATATCCAGGAGAGCCTCCACTCTTGGATGGTGGAGATTTTTTTTGTTTGCTTTGCGGGAGGAGAGTCCTGCTTGGGTTGTTTTGATTGATTTCCTGACTGATGGAGCGTCGACGCGAAGTGTGGGAAACAAAGGTGGAGAGAGACACCCCCCCTCCCTCCTTCTCACACGAGGTGGGCCAGGTGGCTCAGAGGTCAGAGCGCTGAAGCAGCACTGCTCAGATCCTGAGGTTTTAAAATCCAAGGCTTTTGCCGCGCCAAATTAAGAAACCGACTTCGCAAGCGTAGCAGATTATATGCATACACACACACAAAATGCCCACTCTTAATAAGTGATTCTAGATTTGAAGCTTTCGTGACTGCAAGGATTCATATTCTTAGGTTTTTTTCGGTAAAGTGACTTTACCGAAAAAAACCTAAGAATCTTAATAAGTGGTTTCCAGCTCTGTGAAAATTAAAATTTTGGTTTGGCTATCTCAGGGATGAAGAGCCATTCTTGTAGCAGTGTGTGGGAAATTGTGCTCCCAATTGATGAATGCTAAAACAACAAATAAGGGCCACCCGAAGTGTGTTTCCACACCGCTGCTCTGGGGGATTTTGGAATGGTTCTTCGCGTGATGGCGATTGATCACCAAAAATCAAATGAGGTGGGGGTAGGGGGAAGGGGAGATCGGAAACTAAATCTGTATTCATCCTGGAGGAATCTGATGAGTTATGAAGCTCTTTTTCGCAGATGTCTATTCGGGGCAGGTCAGGAAAGTTACGTAAAAAAAAGGAGGATATGAGAGTAAGGTGGAGAAAAGTTGAACCAAGTCACCACAAAATGAATAAATAAGTGAATACATGTGAAGCACTGAAGTACACATCTTGTCAAAAACTCGTACACACATTCCTGCAGATTTGACAAGATAGACTGCAAGTTTGGGCAAGGCAGCAAAACAACAACAAAAACAACATCAAGACAACACAGTCCCTTCATTACATTCCACTTTAAAATTAAACTCTCAATATCATGGGTAAGGTTAATAGCTTCAAACCACAGTGGCAAATATGGCTGGACCTGGCACAAATTTTCTGTTGAATTATATTTTTGAAGAGATATTTACTTACTAGATGGTGTGTATCTAAACATAAAAGACGAAATTAATATCAACCCTTCTTGGTTCTTTCGGTAAAGTCACGTAGAATGGAAATAATAAAATAATAAAAATAAAACATAATAAAATAATTCTCACGACGTTTCGGCCACAACGCAAGCAGCCGTCCTCAGATTCTGTCTCCTCGACAGACCTGTTCTCCACCTGAGGACGGCTGAATCCCTGCAGTCACGAAAGCTTTAAATCGACATTTAATATCAACCCCCTCCCCTCCCTCCTCCCACAGGGCAGGAGCGAACACTGACGCAAGATGCGTTATGAATCCTACTTTCTGTACCGCCTGCGAGACGCGTGGTGTTTCCGCGTGTCTACGTGAGCCATCAACCCTCTCTCTCTCTCAAGTCGACGGATTGTAGCCTTTGCAACCACCACGCCTGGACGTCTTTGATGTGCATAAACAAAAAGAAAACAACACATCAAGGCCGCCTGGGAAGGGATTTAATTGAGGAGAGTGGCCAATAGAAGCACCTGCTTGCATTGTGGTAGCGCAGCTTTGCAATCGGAATGACTCCTTGCGTGCTTGGGGCTGCCGTGTGCATGTTCAGGCGTTGCCGTATTCTCTGCATTATAAGACACACTTCCCACCCCTGTAATTTTTAAGCAGAAGTTTGACAGTGTGTATCATAATCCGGTGTGTGTGTGTGTTGGTGTGTGTGTTGTGGGGAGCGGCTTACGTAGCGGTTACGCGTGCTGTGCTACGAACCTGGCCCACCCGGGTTCGATTCCCGTTCACAGCCAACACCACTGACGATGATCTGAACTGGTCCCGGGCCTCCCTAAGATCGACTCAAATTGAGTACCTGGCGCGGTGTGTAAACATCGCTACGAGGGCGTGGTGCTGGCCACCCACCCCCTCGTGTGTCGTGTATATTAGCATGTGCGTGAGAGTGACCAGATTTTGGCACAATATAGAGCACAGGTGGTGCATCTGCCAGTCATCTCAGTCAGTCAACACTTCATGTGGCCTCGAGGTGCACCTAGCCTGGCACAAGCGCCGTGGTGACGTCACCGCCACTTAGTGGCGAATGGCGACTGTTGTTGACCAGATTTCTCTAACTACATGGAACACATGTTTGGAGCGCATCTTACTTTCTGGAGCGTATGGCTACTTGGTCAACTGCCGAATTGTACGTCTGTGCGTGTGTTTACAGAGCCTTGATGAGTTCTGTAGACGCAGCGTGGAGCGTCAAGACGGGGACTTTCAACAAAGGAATGTCTCTCTATTTTTCCAATCCACACCACTGATGTAACAGTAAAAAAGAAATCTACACAATTGAAAGCTACAAACATAAAACAATAAATCTCACTAGAATATTATTATATTATTTTCCAGGTTCATTGACCGTAGGTGAAATATGCCAGGCCACTTTTGGCCAGACGCACTTTTAAGTGTCTCTGTTCAATATTAATCATGGGAAACAATTCACATTCTATCGTGTGCAGCAAATATACGTTGTGTGTGTGTGTGTTACTGATGGGCTCCAGCTGATATTTTCAACCGCTGAGTTTTCCATACAGACTTGGAATGTGTTCACGTGTTACAGTAGAAAACGATGTTTTGACATAAATCACTAGATGACACACTCACACGCAGACAAAATGCCAGATACAGTTTTTTCAGGGGAGGAGGGGGGTGGAACTTTAAAAGTAATAATTATAACTAGAATAAGAAATATAGGTCAGCTGAAAATGAAAAAATATATATATATAACCCAGAATCACATGATGCCCTATCGAGACAGACAAACAACCTTGTACAGTGAGTGGACTGCATGAAACACTTCTACCATATGTTACCGAAGGTTCATATCTTGTATTTGTGCTGGAACAGTTGGGAATCAGCAGACACTTGCATCCCCCCGTCCTAATGGCACCCATAAGACCCGCAGACTCGTGTAAGACAGAATCATAAGAAAGCAAAGAAGCTCTCTGTTGATGTGACCTCGCACTGAGCTTGTCATGGCTCCGGTGATGGGTTTGGTTTTCCACTAACGTGTTGACATTTTGAAGAAACGTGTTGTTTTTTTGTTGTTCTGGAAAAAACAAATATTTGTGTTTTCGTAGAGACTCGCACGGTCAAAAAAATACATCTTTTTTCGTCGCCCGTTAAACACGCTCC